AGGCGGGCTCCAACCCAGGGGGACATGCAGCCCCAAGCAGAGAACCTAAGGGAACGTCACATCAGCCAGCCCTCTGCTGACCTACAGCGACAGAAGCAGGCCTATATGCTACTTCCGCCTATTCCTACTGCCTGAAGCAAAACTGAATGAAATCTGTATGCCCACACATCTATCAATGGGAGTGAGATTATGTCACTTCCCTGCTGAATCCTGCCCACCCCTCATCACAGTTTTTCATCCAGTTATAACAAAACCTCAGTTTGTAGCTAACCTTCAGGTTCAAAATGTTCCATGCTGAGAAACATGCTCATCTCTGACATCATATTGTCTTCTGTTCCCTCTCACCAGCCCTAAAAATAAATCATCTTGTTCATCTAATCAAAATGTTGAGTGTCTGCAATCTGTCATGCAGTTTTTAGAAGCCAAGAATACAACAAATACAACAAAATTCCTGCTTTTTTACAGTCTATTAGAGGCAGATAAAACAAAAAACAAAAAACAAAACAACCCAACAAAAAATAACTGCAGTAGAATAAGCACTTGCCTGGCAAGTGCAAGGACCTGACTTCAACCCCCGGTTCTGCAAAAAAAACAAAACAAAACAAGAAAGAAAAACTGCATAGAATGAAGTAGAAAAGCTTCCCTGCCAAATTTAAAAGCAAGAGCCCCAAGGCATGATATAATTGAGGGGTGAAAGGGGTCCTGGACTTAAAAGAACTGGGGCGGCAGAAGGAGATGGTGCTGGATGTGGTCACGGAGGCCCAGGGCCAGGTTCAATGAAATGCAGGTCCTATTTGGTCGTTTTAATTCCAGAATTCTATACCAGCTTCCCTTTTCATCCCATGTAGTCATCATAGACTATAAGGTCATCTGTGTGTCTAATTTCCTTTTGCTTTCTGTTTTTTTTTTTCTATTCCTTAATAGGCTAAGTTCCTTGTCACTTAGACTGTAATTTTTTAGTCTTTCTTGGCTTTGATGTGTCAACTCCTGGGCTGGAAGTGTAGCTCAGTGGTAGAACTTACACACACAAAATGTCACTTTCTTAGAGAAGCCTTGTTGGCATTCTCATCTACAGGAACTTCTCAATTACTGTCCATCAAATCTCCTAATTTCACATTTCCAATCAAACACATTTCTTTTTACAGCTTAATTATGTTCTTATAACACTGTATACATATATTTATTTCACTGATTTGCTCAAAGTAGCTGTTGAACACTTACCCCAGGAGGAGCTATGGTAGCAATTCATTCGTTCGGCACCCAGCCAATTCTTACTGATTGTTTCCTCTGTGACAACCCTGTTCTAAGAATTGGTGAGGGAAAGATCAACAAGACAGGTGGTTGGGCCTCTGTTTTATGAAACTGGTAGGTTCCAGTAAGAGAAAGCAAACAGAAAGAAGGGGAACAGAATTGGAAGACAAATCACTTAGATCCCTTTGGAACAAAATAAGAGCAGAAACTAATTTAGAATCACTGTGAAACACAATGAGTGCTGGGTGTGGTGGTGGATATAACCCCAGCACTCCAAACACTTAGGAAAGAGGATATTTGTGACTTTGAGATCAGCCTGGGCTACTAAGTGGCCAGCCTGAACTGCATAGCAAGACCCTGTCTCAAAACAAAACAAAACCAACAACAACAAAAAACCACAATGAGAAATCATGTGGAACAAATCTGGATATGAAACGATGGAAGTATCTACATATAAACTGGTGTGACTGGATAAAAGGCCCATTATTCCAATTGATCAAAATAACACTGAGTAGACACTGTTGATTTAAAAGAAAAAAATTAAAATCCTATCTCTACATTTGATCTTCCCCAGTCAGTAGGGAGCCAAGTACTAAGGGCTGCAGCCCATCTGATGTCCTCCATGAAATACTTTACAATCTGTACATTACGAATGCACTACATTATTAGAAATAAAATCTTCTCCAACAAGAAAACGAGACGTTTAGCTCTGTGGCCTCTTCAAGGGCACACCTGCTTGATTATCCCTATCCAAACAGCCAAAAAGCAGCAAAATTGAAAACTTTTTGAGCAACTGGGAAATGGTTGACGTGATAAATTCCACACTATGAAATTTGGTTTTATGCATAGTTATTCTCTTTAATTTTTTTTGTCTTTTTGAGACTGGGTCTCGCTATGCAGTTCAGGCTGCCTTGACCTCACTTTGTAGCCCAGGCTGGCCTCAAACTCACAGTAATCCTCCTGTCTCAGCCTCCTGGGTGCTGGGATTACAGGAGTGCACCATCCCAACCAGCTTAAAACTACCCTCTTTAGACTTGGGTCCCATCTCCAAGATAACTCATTATGTACGTGTAAATACTCCCAAATCATCAAATCTCTGAAATCTGCAACTCTTCCTCCCAGGCATTTTGGATAAGGGTTTCTCAACCTGTAACCCCTGCATGTGAGCTTCACCCTCGTGACCTTGTTACTTCTCAAAGGCCCCACCTCCCAGTACCATCACACTGGAAACAGCTGCAACAGATTTGGAAGTATACAACCATTCAGTCTACTGCAGGCACCTATCTGCAGGAGAAATAATTATAGTGAAACTATATTCAATTCTCTGACCTCTGTTTCTTTATCTTTAAAATAGAGATATTTTCTAATACTACAGAGTGTAATGTGTGAGGAGAGTCTGATGATATTTTTTGTAAGCTTGTTTTGAAATTTCAAGATTTTATATGTGGATAATCAGTAGGGCAGAAGTTCAGCCAATTTATTTTGGCTGAATTTTATTTCCTCTCAGAACCATGATAGTCTAGTTAGAAAGACATTAAATCAGCTGTAAATACCAACTAGACAATTCTCTGCTGTCTGAGGGACCACCCATCCCAACAAAGAAAACTGTGAACAAGTGGATTCTTCACCTCCAGCTAGCTCTCCTCAACCTGGTTCTAGGTCAGCACTCTTAGGACATATCAGAACACCTGTCCATTTTGCAGCTCAGTCTCTCTGAACCTCATGTCTTTCCTAACTTTCTATCGTCCTTGGCAAAAAAAAAAAATCTTCATTCAGCTTCACAGTTGATGGTTATACTTCTTACATTATAATTTCATAGTGTCATATTTTCATAATACAGTCCTATTGGCTGGACTCAGTGTGAGATTTGAGAATATATACAATAACATTGAAAAGAAACAAAAGAAGGGCTGGGATATGGCTCAGTGGCACAGGGTCTGCCTGGCAAGCGTGAGGTCCTAATTTCAATTCCCAGTTAAAAAAAAAAAAAAAAAAAAGAGATAACCTAAATTAATTTTTTTAAAAAGCTGTAATATGTATTTAAATTTCTTGAGATAATTTTGGATTAGAAGGTCTTTTGACGTATCCACAGTTTTAAGAGTTAGACCTAAATGGAAGATTAAATTTTGCCTTCATGCAAGTCCTGCTGGAGCACTCTTTCAGTTCTCATGACTGACTCCTTGTTGCTTGGTCTCAGCTAGATCGCATAAACTGACTTGCTTCTTCCATATTTTCTGCCATCAGGAAAGGAAGCTGCATGAGAGCAGGGACCAGTCCTACAGCATAGGATAGGACTGTCTTCCAAAAACACCTTTCCCAGCTCCTAGGCCAGTGCCTGCGTCACGGAACTCATTTTGTTGTTGTTGTTGTTGTTATTGGAATGAAAGAATAAATGAAAAACTGAGTTTACACGTGTTTGGCTCTCAGTTGTTTGTTTTATATTTAATTCCTTCTGCCTCTACCCCTCAAAGCCTTAAATAGTAAGAACTGCTCCCATTTTATAGACAAAGAAAATCTCAAGTAAACTGAACTGGAACTAGGAAGAGGAATGCCAAATCCTAATCTCTTTCTGTTAATGAACAAATGGACTTTAATTTCTCTTCAGTTTTTCCCACTGGATTTTCCATATAAGTAATCACTACAGTTAATTACAAGTTCTAAGGACTGAGCTTAACAATTTTTTAGTGAAACTGTTTTGCAAGAACAAAACAGGAAACACATCCGAAGTTCAAAAGTGTGGGTGTAATTCACACACCTTGCTTACAGATCCTTCAGTAAACAAAGGCAGATGTATAAGTAACTGTCTGATTCAGTGGCTTAGGAATTATTTTTAAAAGCACACACTACCTGACTGTCTAGGAAATAATTCTAGTCCCAGTTGTCTTAGTAACCACCAATCTCAACTTTTGAATCCTTTGTGTGTATCTGTGAACATTCTCTTTCAGTTTGCATAGTTTTATTGTACTTTCTATGAGCCTTTTTTTTACAAAAAAGAAAAGCTTTTTCCTTCAAGGAATAAACGGCAAGAGCCAAGAGTGGAAATCCAGGAAGTTGCCGGTAACTTTGCGAAGGCACAGCTTTTACTTTGGGGCTCACTGCCCTCTTGATCGACATAGGTCAACCAAAAATGGGCTGGTCCGCCGTGAAAATCATCAACCAGTTACCGCACACCTCTCCCGCGCTGCCTCTCGTCCTTAGTTTGTGTTTTGAGCCAGGCGCCTTCGTGTGGAGCCAACCTGGAATCGCTGCGGACCTCCGGCAAAAGGCGAGGGACCGGACCCAGGGATTTCACAAGCTCGGGGGCGAACTACGAACCCCAGCTCCGCGAACGGTGAAAAGTCAACACAAGCACTGCGTGCCCTCAGCTCGCCGTCCGCTCTCTCACCGGGAAGTGGCTGCGCAGCCAGTCACCACTCCTGGGATCCTGGCGGAGCCACCGCGGGTCCCCACCACGCCCCGCGCCCGCGAGCCCGCTCAGGCGGCACTCCCACTGCGTCCCGGGCTGCCCCGTCGCAGACCCAGCACGCCGTCATTTACAGGCGTGGACCCTGGGGACCGAGGGGGTCTCGTCCCACGCAGGTCCCTCAGAGACCGGAAAGTGTGTCTATCGGCTGTACGCGCGCGCGAGCAGCTGAGAGACCATTACTGACCCGAGTCCCTACGGCAGGGTGGGTTCCCGGGGCCCGCCCCTCGACCTCTGTGCCGCCACCGTGAGGCCACGTCCCTCTGGGCTCGCGTCAGATCCTCACCTCGGCAGGGCTCTCCGGGCAGCACCAGTCGCGCCATGGCCCAGGTCGGGGCTTCCCAGGCGCAGCACCTGCTCCTCACCCACCTGGACCTCGCGCAGCCATGGATCCGCGCCCTGCCTAGCCGCGGGTCCGCAGCTGGTGTGCCGGCCCCGCCCCCTCGACAGCCTCGGCCAATGAGGACTGCTGGGCGTGGCCTCCTGCTAGCCACACCCCCGAGGCTCGGGGTTGTGGTCCTTGGCTGAGCTAGCAACTGGAGCCGAGACTGCCTAGGCTGGACCTCAGGTGGCCACTGGAGTCGCGCAAAGAGACCTCGCGGGGGAGCGGCCTGTATCGGAGCCTGGAGGTCGCGGAAGCAACTCAGGGGAAGTAGTGGAACAGCAACGGTGCTGAGGCCCCCTTCTGGCTGCTTCTGGGTGCACAGTTCTCCCTGGCTGAAAGCTGGAGGGACCGGCTGACTTGGGAAGCCTGCATCGTCTAAGCTGATTCCCAAGGCCAAGTTTGAACAGGGAACAGACTTCGCCCTTCTGTGCAGCTGTCAGGTCCCCGCGGCCCCTCCTTTACCCCAGCGTCCGCGTCACTGGTCTCCAGCCGACAGGCCACTCCCGCGCAGCTGCCGCCTTAGGCTTCTGAGTCACACACTTATTTGAAATAGGCGTTTTTAGGAGCAGTGCCTACATTGAAGAGGTCTATTCTCACAAAATCATAGTCACTAACGTTTTGGTATTCTCACTATACCATACAGATGAGACAGGCGCTAGGTAAGTATTCATTACACAGCACGGTGTATCATGCCATAGTTTATAGATCAGAGATCTGACGGGAAGGGAGAGGATAAGTAAACTAGCCAAGGCTGGGAGGCTTGGAGGCAGACTTTTATGCCAAAAACAAACAAGCATAAAGAAATTGGACACAATTCCCGTTGGTGGGGAGGATGGGCTGCCCTGTCCCCTGGTGTGTCAGCACTGAGGAAAATAGCCTTATCTGCTCATATTGCCTTTGCTGTAGTAGTCATGAAGGGCTATTAACTTTATTGCCTAAGAGTTTCATTGCGGAGGCCTCAGTCTTGCTTTTCTGGTTCTTAGATCGATGAGAGGTTACTTACAAATAAATTAGTCAATATAATGAAGTAAGGCACGCGCAAGGGGATGATGTTTTGAAGGAGCAAAAGATAGGGGAACAACAGATGAAAGTAAAGGAGAGAGATTTATGCCAATTTGGATGACTAGACTTAAAACTTAGACTTTTATTTAAGCATTTTCTTTTAAAAGTTTTCCCTAGTTTGTTAAACTTGTACTTGTTTGCAGTATATAATGTTTACATTCCTGGTATAGAGTTGGGATATATATATGACACATCTTCTTGTCTGGATCTTGATTATTAAAGTAACTACAAAAAATATGGAAGTTATTCGTTCATTTATTGTGATGAATGATGGTGAGACATTGACACACAAACTGTGCTTTCCCAATCTCCCTTTGCCAAAAACCTGTTTTTCTTGGTGTCTTCCCATCTCATCAAACTGCAACATCCTCTTCAACTGCTTTCAACTAAAACATCTACAGTTATCCTTGATTCCACTCTTGTTCCACATCCAATCATCAAATCTTGTTGCCTCTGTCTTAAAAATGTATCCACATTCCAAGCCCACCCCCATTTCTCCCTCCTGGTCTGAATCCTGTCACCTCGCACTGAGTTACTGTAGCACACTTCTACAGTTCTCTACATGACCTGTCTTCTCAGAGCTTGTCTCCTCAACCCTGTTGTCTGTGCTTTTAGTTTAGCCACACCGGCTACCCTGCTTTTCTTTAAGCAGGCAATACAATCCTGTCTTTGCACATATTGTTCTCCTGCCTGACAGACTTCCCCGGGAAGTGGACGTGGCTAACTCTGTCACTGCACTCAAGTCTTGCCTAAGTGAGGGCTCCCCTGAACGCCCCACTGAGACAGTCCAACCCCACAATTCATCATTCTCTATCCCTTGACCTTACTTTCTTTATCATTACCACTGATCATGACCTGACTTCTTACATGTTTATGACTTGGTTCATTTATCTTTTTCATGCCTTTAGAATGTACAGTAAATTTAGTGAAGGCAGCAACTCAGTTTTGTTAATTGCTGGCTTACCGATTCTAAGAATTCCAGGTATTTAAATATGTTTTGAATGAATAACTATGCATAACATGGAAATATACACTATAGATACAGTAACAGACAACTAATGGACAACATGGATACCATCTCTAAACATATGGAGTCTTCAGTGCTTACAGAGAAGCTAGTCATTGGAAAATTATATAATTTTTAGTGACTGTGGTTATAAATGCTGGGGAGACACCATTGAGCACTCTGGCTGAAGGTCTTAGTGTCCTGGAAGACAGGCTATCAAATATTTAATAATTTAGGGCTAAGAGGAAAAATATCTCAAATCATATCATTTTTGCAATGGAAATACAAAGAATCAATGTCATGCAAATAAGTCTATACTTAGAGGTAATTTAAATAAGATTATAAAGATTTAGAGAAAGCTGACAAAGCAAGACAGGAAACAAGATTAAAAGTAGCGTATTAATAGATAATCCAGTGTAGCTATGTTCTCTCTGTCAGTCAAGGTTACTGCAGGTCCCAGGAAAAGGAAATGAGTGACAGGCAGATTGAGTCAAGCTAGTCACACCTTGGAGAAAAAACAAACTCATAACAAAGATACTCACCCTTAAACTTGGGTAAATTGGAAAAATATGCCCTATTTTCAATTTCAACAAAAAGTAATTCACGTCTCCTTCCTCCAAATCTCCTAGACCAGCTCATTTCCTGTAAAACATCTTAGGGTTCCTTGTGTGTCACATTGCCTCATTAACAGGCTGCAGGCGCCAGTTTAGGTGCTGAGCAGAGCTCAGAGGGGAAGGGAAAGGCAAAGGCCTTTTTACCGTGCTCTCCTACAAGCACATACTAAACCTGTTGATCCTCGTAGAAACTTAATGAAGGATCTACATTTTTATTTAACAGATAAGTAAACAGGGTCAGAAAGGTTGCAAAATTTTCTCAAGACCATACAACTACTTCATTGTTCCAGACTCAATAATATTTGGCTTATCCTGAATTAGTTTAGTTATGGAGGGGGAAGTTTCCAAAAGGAAGAATGGGAGCTAGTAGAGAATAAAGTGTTTGAAATAAAACAAATGAGTCACTCTAAATATGTAAAGTTTGTATTTGTGTATGTGTATGATTCACTGGGGAAGAGCTGTTTTATAATGAGAAGTTTTATGAAGTCCCTAGCAGTTAACTTGGGAAGAGGAAGGCAGGTTTGCTAAAATTATGTCACTAACCAGTTAATTAGCTAATTAAAATCATTTTTTTGTGTTGTGTGCACCAACTCCCCTCAATGAATGTAATAATTATGTACTGCAAACACACTCTAATAAAAATAAAAACATTTTTTAAAGTTTGAAATGCCAGACAAATCAAGAGAAAGTGAACAACTATATGTGGAAACAAATTTCCAATCTTATCTTTTAAAAAATTTTGAAGTCCATTTATTTTAGTTAAAACTGCCACATGAGAGGTAGGAACTACAAAAAAATTGCTCTAGATACTTCAAGTGTATTTTTTAGCCAGAATATATATTTCTAACTTTAAACAAAAGTAAGACAAATTTATAATGCAACTAATGTAAAAACTGTTTAACATTTGTCTTCTAAAAATTATAGTAGCCTCTTGGCAAGCATTTACTGTGCTTTAGGAACTAAGATAAAGTTTCATATTATTATATCTTATTTACTCTTCATAATAAATGTTTAAGACAGTGTCATGCTCATTCCACGTAATGGAAGCAGACTTCGGAAGCACAGGGCCGCGCACAGGGCCGCGCCCAAGCCGAGAGTCGCTGAGGGCAGGTGCTTCAGCGCCGGCAGCCGCCTCCATCAGCAGGGCATCGCGGAAAACTCCCAGAGGTTGTGGAGAGTGGTCCAGGTTGCTAAATCTAGCCAGCGACCTGGCTGCGCACGGCACGCAGCTGAACGACCCAGTGCTAAGCCTTGCGCCCCTGGGAAAATTACTTTATCCCGCAGTCTTCACTTCCTCCTCCATGAAATGAAGTGGATACTTTACGCTTTTCACTACATTGCTTTAGGATTTAGAATATTGATTTAGCACTGAGGAAAGTGAAGAATTTTTTTCAGTGTGTCTATTCATTTTTATTTTACGTTACATGCTGTTAATGTTTATCATCATTTCATGTCCTTCTCTAATGTTTACAATTGATTTTATAGAGAAAAGTTTAAAAAACACTACTAGGTTAATTCATGGCAAGGGGCTGATTTTCCTAAGTAGATTATGTGGCTTAAAAAGGACCATAAGATAAAGGTTCATTTTAGCATAAAGCTAAATTATGACATGAGTGAAGTGAATTTCTTTAAAATATCTATACTTACTGGTTAAAGGGTGTGTGTTTAAGTACAAGATTGCAAAAGATTATGTAAAAGCGGCGTATTTGATAAAATGTTGAGAGATCTGTGAATTGAAAGAAGGTAATAAAATACAAATTATAATAATTTAAATTTATAAAGTCTAGCAAAAACTGGATTTTCTAGAAGCTATGCTGCCAACCTTTAGAGTAAAAAATGTTAATGCCTTGTGTATGGTCATCTCATCTCATTTCCAAGAAAACACTAAATACTAGTTCAGGAATAAAAACATTGATTTTTAAATCCTCTGGAACAAAGGAAGAAATCAATGAATAAATTAAATACTGTAATATGACAAAATATTAATGTCCTATTTTGACAAAAGATTAATGTCATCTTTAAAAAAATGCTTCAGTTACCTAGAAATATAAAACTTAGGTTAAATAAAAATCAAAATGATTTCAATTAAAAATGTATAATTGTAGTTACAATCAAAATGTTATTGTCAAATTTATTAGGTTTCAATTTTATTTTCATTTTACTAAAACCAAAATTTTATAAACCATGTTTTACTATTAGAAACAGAAAATTATTTTAATATTCTGAGATCTAAAAAGCTGACTTTCCTAAGGTACACAAGAGCCCTGTCCTTTTTTCTCCAGGCACCTGGGTGTATTTCCTCCTTTGAGACCCTTCTGTCCCGCTGGGAAGCCACTTAACTGAGGCAATGGATGTTACTTAGTTGTCCAGTGGCTAATTATTTAACAAGACAATAACAAAAGAATGATGTACTTCTGGAGTTGATAGACTAAAATATAGACAATTTTGATAAAAGGATATAATTCATATGTCATTTTGATTTTTCTTCATAAGCAAAAGTCTTGAGTACATTGCTGATGGAATACTGTACTAAAATTCTAAGGAAAATTACTTTTAGATCATTGGAATAACATATTAACTGGCATATATGATAGTTTCTGTTTATTGAAGTATGAATTATTCTTTCAGCAAACTCAACCTTATTTTATTTCTCAACTGACACATTTTAAAAGGCGAAAGATTTATATTATCTGAAGAGAAACCAAAGTATTCAACTGATATATTTTAAACATGCGCTTCTGCTACAAAATACACAATTAAAATATCAGTGAACAGCTAATTGCATCCTATTTCTAGTTTAATACTGTTAATATGATTGCATTATATTTGAAAATTTACTCTGTAAAGACTTACATAACTTTTAAGCCATTGTAACCTTGGGAAGTAGTGACAGTATAATAAA